TATAGAATAACTACGTACATCGTGAGTGCCACGCTGGGAGAATCGCACATCGATTCGATTGAGACCATTTGGCAGGCCAAGCGTCACCTCGCCTTGAAAAGCGCCAATGCCAACCTGAACATACTGGAAATGCTGGGCGCATGGGTTTTCCGGGAAGCGCTGAGCAACGGAAGCCACGAGCACCCTGGCCAATAGCAGCAGCAGCAGCGCTAGCTGCGCGTCCATTGGAACGTAACAAAAAATTTATATATAATAGTAAAAACAAATAACAATTCCAGTTAAAATCTTGTCTAGTTATTGAATGCACACGCGACAAGCGCCAGTGGGCGAATATTACTGCATTCGATAATGACAGCTCGATTGCACTGAGCACCGAGCTCTAAGCACCGCTGAGCAAGTATGCTAAGCAAACTGGAAATACTACATCGTGCTGGAGAGGATAAAGTCGAGATCTGCGATAGAGCATCTTTAGAGAGAGCAAAGTGTTGAGAGGAAACTGAAACTGAAAAGGGAAAACTGAAAACAGAGAACGGAACGAAAACTATATAGAAGCGTGGCTATTAGGAGATAAGCAGGCAGCTCTTTGTTTATTTTGTTAGCTTATTTGTTGGCACTCATCTCACAATATTCCGCTCGACCCAGCCGAGATGTCGAGCAACGTCACAGTAGATGACGTATCGCGACAAATCGCAGCCATTGCCGGAGCGCTGGGCCAGCGAGACAATGCCGCGCACGAACCACCGGTTGTTGCGGAGCACCATTAGGCCACCACCGGAGTCGCCCAGACAGGGGCCATGCCCTTGGCTGTTGCCCGCGCAGATGGTGCGGGGCGTTAAGAAGTCCTTGGCGGTAACCATCTCACGTAGACACTGCTCCTGCGACACTGGCCGCACGTTGACTGTGGCGGGGAAGCGCGTTGGCTTGAAGTTCGCATCGATTCCCCAGCCGGCGACAGCAGTCTGTTCGCTGTCATCGATGCCGAGCGAGGTGCTGCTGGGCCACAAGCAAATCGGCCGCACGTAGGTGGAGTACTGCACCCGCTCGGTAAGCACCAGAAGGCCCACGTCCAGATCGGGCACCAGATTGCCCACAAAGTCCGGGGGCGTGTGCACGGACTGCACGGCCATCAAGGCGGCATCCTTTTCGGGATGCAAGCTGATGTCGTGCCGGCCCACATAAACTCTTAGCTGTGCCGGCGTAAAGCCGTAGATGCAGTGCGCCGCAGTTATCACGGTGCGTGCCGAGATCAGCGTCGTCACGCATTTGTAGGACAGCTCAATCTTGTTGGGATCCACGTTGCTGTCGTGATAGAGCGCGGCCAGCCACGGGAAACGGCCCCTGGGCAAGGTCTCGCCGCCAATCTGTAGGCCGACGAGGCCCTCCACGCCGCACTCATACGCCGCCGGCTCATGTCGCGTATCCACGGTGACAGTGGGCTTTCTGCTCATCCAGGGCTTCAAAAATGGATTATCATTCGATATAAAGGACGTAGCCGGACTAGCCGTTGCAGTGGGTCTGGTTCTGGTCGTCGTGAATGTAGTCAGCTTCGTTGATGTCGGCAGTTGACCTGATACATAAGTCTCCAGCTGATTGAACAATGAATCTGTGTCTATCGGCTGATACTGTGGCAGCCTTCTTGTTGGCTGCGATGGCGTCTTGTGCATTTGATATGTGGTCGTCGATGAGACAGCCATGTTCAGCTCCCGCGTTGATGTTGTCGCCGAGCCACCGTCTAGGAAATAGGATATCGAAATGAATATTAAAGAAACATTGTACGAGCAACAGCTCAGCTGCAATCGTATATGGCTAATTACATATTTCAAATACTATACCATAATAATTGCATTTAATGATGCTGCTTAGCTACGTAATTGAGACGTTTATCAATTCGATTCGATTACTCACATGAGCTGGCTGTGCATAACACTTGGCCGTTCAATTCGATGCGCACTATCTTGGGCAGCTCGTCGACGTAGCCAGTAAAGCGGACAAAGCACTCGGCCCGGCCACCGTCGTGCATGTTTTGTAGAGCGACTTCCTTATTCGGATACGGTGCCAGGGAGCTTATCGTGCCTGGCTGCAGGCAGGTGCAATCAGATGACGTTAGAAACGGGTCTTGCCACAGATACGCGCTGTGTCTACCTACATACGTACCGTGTTAACGCCGTGTGACACAAAGCGCAGCGTCCAGCTGACGCTCTTGAGGCCGTCTTGAGGCGGGGTAACGTGGCCAATCCATTGATCGCCCTGGCGGCGATACTGGAAAATGCTGCCGCAACCATTGGGTGGCAGACGCTGCGTCAGAGCGAGGCGCAGACAAAGACCTAGCGCCGCGAGGCTCAGCGTTCGGCTCACGATTCCCATTGAACGTCGTTTCAGAACTGTCGCTGATAGCAGTCGGGCGAGAACTGAGCATCTCGATTGCCCATGAAGCTGGAATTATCACAACGCCAGCCAGCACTCGGCTAGCTCTCTGCGCACTGTGGAATACCCGTGCATAAGAGCGACTGACGAAGCAACCATCAGGACAGGTTTTCGGGCTTTGCCCGCTGAGCCCCTCAGTTGTACGAGCTGAAAGTGCCGGTTCATGGGTCAGTTTGAAAACTGGCTATATATAGTATTCTAAAGCCAAAAGCACATGCTACTATACTATATACATATAGTCCGATTATACTGATGCTTGAATGAACGCAGCTAGCACTTTGTTTACAAAATAAAAAGTACTCTC